GTCACAGTGGACATCAAGCTCAATTGGCATAACACACTACACAAAACATTGTTCTACCACCTACTTTGGCGAGTCATGGCTGGGATCTTAAAAGCTTGCAAGCAGCCATTTAAATGCAACAATGGGTCTCTCCTCATCCAGAGCAAAGAAGAATGAAGACAACCAAAGATTTATGGAAACAATTAGCCCAAGCGACTGGTACCATGTGATCCTCAACCTATATGACTATGAGACCAGAAGAACTAGATGGTGCCTGGCTACCACTGTCAACCACTTGGAGGGGAATCTATGTAGCAAAAACTACTTACCAAGAAAATAAAATACTGTTTTACAATAAAACTCAAAAATTAAGTTTGTTGTTGTTGTTGTTAGGTGCCATTGAGTGGGAGAAAAATGTGGAACAAAATTCAAAATCATTTGTAAAAAAACAATAGGGAGACCAGATTTGCTGGTATGATAGAGCCTGGTGGAATCACTGAAACTATGGCACATAGCTGCCCTTCAGGTCTGGAACTGAACCCACACCTGTGGCTTCCAGCCAAACAAAAGAGAGGCATATGAAGTGAACATTTACACTAGGTAGGTACACTCCTTGGAGAGAACAATAATGGGATAATAGAAGGGCTATGTACACACAGGGACATAGCTCAGGGGGCAGGAGTACATGAAGGGATGGACATATGGAAGAGGTAACTATGGGGAGGAAGTGGGAAGGGAGCTGTTGCATTGTGGTAAATTGTAGTCAATGTCATGAGACAAAGTAATGTGAACTGCTGTATAGAAAGTGAATTTGCTCTGTAAACTTTCACCCAACACACACACACACACACACACACACAAAGTTACTTAAACAAACTTTATTTCAGTGATTTTCTAGTATATGCACTTATAATTTCCAAGATTTCTAAGTAAGTTCCTGATAAGAAATTAATCTCCAAGTTACACTTTTATTTTTCATGCCACAAAAGGATATGTATTATATATATTTTTGAGTCTACTGATAAATGTGTTTTATGTAGCCACTTAAAGAGTTGTCTGGCTAAAATGTGATGAATTAGTTTAAAAAGTTTTAAAGCATTTTTAGTATCAAATAACATAAAGAAAAAAATTATTATTATTTTACTGTTAAGATAAAAATTTTGATTATGGGTTAAAAAGTTAACTTATTAACCTTAAAAAATAAAAGTTAGGTATCTCCTTAAAATGAGTTTCCTGAGTCAAAACTGAGCCTTACAGCATTGAAAAAGACTAAGATTTTTATTCTTAAAATACTTGACTTAAATAAGTATTGTCTCACAGTGATTTATAATAACCTCCTGATAACTTTAAAACTTTATGGAAAGCCACAAAATAATTTTGTTTAGTAATAAAAAATGCTAAAGAAGAGTTTATTCAATAGGTAATAAATTACATAAAAAGAATTGTTGGCAAATCAGGAAAAATACAAAATTTTCTTTGAGTTATATCAGTAATGTTAGTCTAATAATAAACAAAAAATGTGTAATATTATGTCTCAATGTTATATTTGTTATAGCTGAAACTCTGAAAATAAGATGAATCATGTTTTTCTATATATTTTGTGTAATTGTTTTTTTAAATTAACTTTATTGGGCTTTGCATTAATTTTATAATTGGTTCCCATTATGTCCTTCAATTGTAAGAAATATAATCATGTCAATATTAAATTTTGTCATTTGCAGATAATTGTACTTCACTGACTTGCTGAAAATGCTTAACAAACATATTTCAACAAAAATGGACTCAAATGTGGGTATCATTGAACTTAATCAATTTCAAGAACTCTTAAGAAAAAGCTGATGAGGTTTTACACTTCTACTATCCAAAGTTTCATGGAACCAAAATTAAGTACATTGGACTGAGTAAATTAAAAAAAAAATACTGTAAGATTTATATAAGAATATTGCTGATGTTAATGTTCTACTGTTTATATATAAGAAACTATTTTTTTCTTTCCCTAATTAGTTCAGATCTGTATTTCAGTGGTGTAACACTTGTATTTTTGTGTCTCAAACCGGATTAGAAGATGTCATAGCACATGGCAATATCCTCACTAAATGTATTTAGAGTATGTTAAATGATTCTGATCTTGGACTCCAAGAAATGAATACTGAAATGACTATGATAAAAGCAATAGTTCTTCAAAAGTGATTGGCCCTCTCTTTTGTTACTTATATCAACAATCTTTAATACTGAAAGATATTTTTCACAGGTTAAGACTTTTGACTAGCAAAAACCCAAACATCTATTTAACATCACCCCAGGAGAATATATATATATATATATATATATATATATATAAGAAACATCAACTAAAACACTTTAAGTAAGTTCCAGATAAGATGAAACCTGGCTGAAAGGAACCCTACTTAATCCTTCTCCCTAACCCTTGTGGTACTGAATTATAGGGGGTTAAGACATAGATCCATCTGTCTCAGCTAAAGAAGGTCTCAACAACCTAGTGGACTGCTGAACCTTGAACTAAAATTTAAATAATCCAGAGATGAGAAGCAGATGACATCTAAGAAGATGGCTGGCTTTCCCAAGACACCTGAACTAGGCTTGTATTTCCCCTCCAAGACTTTACAGGACAGACAAGATCATTAGATTGTTTTCATATTTTTCCTATTCCCTTTCTCTTGTATGCTTTTAAAATTTTAGGTCTCATCATAGGCCCACGGTAATTGTTATCCTATATTTTCTAGAAATTATATGTGTGTGTGTGTGTGTTAATCTATTTAGATGCTTGTAATATTATTTTTAGGAGCTCTGGTAGCATAGTGCCTAAGGTAGCATAGTGCTAACCAGAAAGCTGGTGGTTCAAACCCACCAGCCACTCCTCGGAAGGAAGGTTGGGCATTCCTACTTCCGTAGTGATACTGCCTCGGAAACCCAAGGAGGGGTCGCTATGAGTCGGGCTGACTCGAGGGCACATAACAACAACAACAACAACATTATTTTTATTTCCTTGTAACAATGATCTCTCTTAAACTTGTTTTGTTTCCACTACTTTCCCCTAACCACTTTGCTCCACTCTCTTTGTGGTGGTCACCTTCTGTTCCTTGAATATGCCTAGCCAAGCTGCTTCCTGCCTCAGGGCCTTTGCACCTATTCTTCCTTAGGCCTGGAATGTTATAACCAGATCTTTCTTTGCCTCAATTACAAATTGTATCTTCCCAGGGAAACGGTCCCTGTACACAAATTATAAAGAAATCCCTCTATACATGGTTCTCAGATCTAGCAAATAAAACTACAAAACATCTGGTAAAATTTGAATTTCAGATAAACAAAATAATACTTTAATATAAGTACCTCTCAGACAATATTTGAAATATACATATGATAAAAAAATTATGTTGTGCCTCTGAAATTAAATTTAACCAGACATTCTGCATTTAATCTGACAACCTTATGTCCATAGCCACTCTGTTATGCCATTCTGTTTTACTGACTCCATAAGACTTATTCATCACTATTAGAAATTCTCTTTTTATCTGACTCCCCTATTACAAGATAAGCTCCATGAAGGTGGGGCCCCGTCTATCTTTTCAAAGCTACATCCCCAGAGTCTATCATAGTGCCTGGTGCATAGTAGGTATTCAATACATATTTGTTAAATATTTATTATAAAGGCGAGGAAAACCAAGGCTTAGAGAGGTTGGTATTACCTCGAGGGCATACTGCTAGCAAGATAAGATTGGAACTGGGTACTGTGTCCTCAAAGCTTAGAGAACTATTTCAAGTTTTAGCGGAGGGGGAAATGGACACAACGTCATTGGCCTTTTGGGTGGCTCTCCTAGTAGCCTCAGAAGACCTTGGATCAGTAGATTTTAGGAAACGCAAAACCCGAATGAGCTAGGTCTTCGTATGTCTTGCAACGGATCAAGTAAAGAAAACAATAAGTGAAAATAATAAGAAAGATCCTCTGGGTGTGTAATTGGGTCAGAGGCAGTGCGCATCCTCCGCATGTTCGTCCTCCCTAAACTCCGTGCAACTTAAGGTCTGGCCTTATTGCTGGACTCCGGAAATTGTTGGATCCTGAACACAAGAGAAGTCTCCGATGCACATGCAAATGAAGCGCAGGGGAGGGGTGGATGGTGCTGAAGTCAAGACTGAAGGAATAAAACTGTCCTCTGGTACCCAGGGCGCGCAGCGCACGCTGGTGGGGCAGCGTGTTCAGACCCAGAAAACGGTCGAGTTCACAGCTTGCTGTTAAGGTTTGGCTCCCCACAGGACTCACCGCGGGGGCGCACAGTTTCTACTCCATCTCACTTCATACTACCTAGATGATATCTGGTCGTCCAGCGGCCGGCCCCGAGAGAACTGCATGGGCATCTGTGATCCAATCTCCAGGAGCAAGTTGGCTCCAGGCCCTACCCAGCTCCACTAGGCACTCACCAGCCCTCCCACCTAGGAGCTGAAGGATGGTTCTGGGGCTCTCGGTCTGCGCAGCTGGTCCTGGGCGTCTCCATCTCCGCGGCCCTGATGTTTGAGCCCCGTGCGCGCCCTGTTAGGAGGCAGCGGTCCCCGCTGCTGACAGGTGCTGGCCTGAGGGCTCCCCGTGCGGTCCCTGGCGTATCTGGGCGCGCACGCCCGGGTGCGTTCAGCTTTCCGAACCAGAAGCCAGAGAGCAGAGGGAGCCAGGGCGCGGCCTGGGGGACTCCAGTGGACTGGAGCCGCGAAGAACTGAGCTAGAAACTTTGCAGGCGCAGCGGCCAGGATTCGGTGACGACGCCAGTCCCAACCGGCAGGTGCGGGAGAAAGAGGCGGCGTCGGAGTCCCGCGGCTGGAAAGCCTGGGCGGCGTTGGCGTCTTTCCCCCGCGCTGGCCTGAAGCCGCTGGGGGTTCCTGGCTTCTGCTGCTGCGTCCGCCGCCGCCGCCGCCGCCGTCGCCGCTGCCGCGGGGCTTGGGGAGGAGGCACAACCAGAGAGGGCGGAGAAGGTGGAGAAGGAGGAGGGGAGAGGTGGAGCAGGGGGTGGAGGATGGAGGCCCGGGCTGCCGCGGCTGGCGAGCCCGAGCCTGTGGCGGCTTCCTCCTCCTTCCAGGCCCGGCTCTGGAAGAACCTGCAGTTGGGGGTGGGCAAGAGCAAGGGAGGCGGCGGCGGGCGCGCAGGGGGCCCCGAGAGTCGCACTGCGGGCACCCCGTCGCCTTCTCCTCCGCCCCCGGGGGGCAGGCGGGATGCTCTGGCCGGCGTGGGTGGCACGAGCAGCAGGTGGAGTGGCTTCAAGAAGCGGAAGCAAGTACTGGACCGCGTGTTCTCCTCCTCCCAGCCCAATCTGTGCTGCTCCTCGCCGGAACCCCTCGAGCCCAGCGGCACCGGCCGAGCCGAGCAGGGGTCCGCGCTGCGCCGCCTAATCCGCGAGCATTTGCTCCCCCCGGGAAGGGGGCCTGGAGCAGCCGGAGTGACGCCTCCTGGCGGGAACTCCCCCGACTCGGCTCGCTCATCTTCCGCTTCATCCTCCCTGTCCTCTTCACCTCAGCCGCCCTCGAGGGGGAACCGCACCCAGGATGAGGGTGCACAGGGTCGGGGATCCGGGGCACACTTGTGCCATCAGAAGAGCTCCTCCCTGCCGGGCACTGCCTGTCTGGAGCAGCTGCTGGAGCCTCCACCGCCTGCGCCTCCCGCAGAGTCAGCGCAAAGTCCCGCGGAACTCGGGACCCCCGCCAAAGGCAAGGAGCGCGGCAGCAGCCAGGTGAGTGCCAGGTGGGCGCGGCCGGAGTCGGGGGTAAGGGACCACGCCTCCGTCTTCTTTGGCTTCTCCAAAGGATAGGGGAAGCCTTAATGTAGTTCAAACTGTGGGCAGAAAACATCTTGGTCCTTGTTAGTAAAAATACATGAAGAGTTTTGACTTTCACCCTAACTTTTCACTTTCTGAAGAAAAGGCACCTGCTGCCAGAAGCCAGTTGACCAATGAAAATGGAAGTAGTAGTAGTAGCCAAAATGACATTAAGTAAAGCTAAACATGTAGTGGTACTTTTTGGACACCTCCTGTAAGGAGCAGTTCCTCACTTTGTTGAAAGAAAAAGGAAAAACCAGCTTAAAAATATTACAACCATGCCTGGCGGGGAGAAGGGGGCACCATTTGAAGCACATGGCTTGTAGGAAGGAAGACAGAGGATTCATGCCCAATGTGAGGTCATATGCTGGGGAGACCCTTAACGCAGAATTCTGCTTATTTTTCATCCAAACCCAAAACCAAACTCATTGCCATAGAGTCGTATTGGACTCATAGTGAGCCCTCCTTGAGTTTCCGAGGCGTTATCACTACGGAAGTAGATTGCCCAACCTTCCTTCCAAGGAGGTGCCAGTGGGTTTGAACCGCCAGCCTTCTGGTTAGCAGTCAAATGCCTTAGGACTGCGCCACCGGTGCTTCTCTCCTTAAAACTTCTGCTGCAAGTCCATTGCTGCCCAACAAGTGAACAGCGTCAGTCATTTAGCTGAGTTAGGCAAACAGATAATGTTCCAGTAGCTTTTTCGAAGTTTGTCTAGTCATCAGAAGCAGTTGCTTTTTTAAATACCGTATTTTATTCACCATGTCGACTCTTTGATCAGACACCAGTGAAGTTTTATGTGCTTTAACATTTTACTTGGAGAATCTCTAAGATGTCCCACTGAGCGGCTGTTTTTACTCCCTCAGTTTTGAAGAGGCGATGCTGTTTTTGTAGTAAATGTTTAGCAAATCATGTTAATGACTGAAAATGTTTTAAAAGTTCCATTCTCCCAGGGACCTAAAGAACTATTTTCCCGGAGACACTTTAGTTTATTTAAACTGTCTAGTTCTTTTGACTTGTGATAATGTTAGATTAATGGTGTGAATGTTGTTGTTATGTGCCATCGAGTCGGCCCCGACTCATAGCGACCCCTCCTTGGGTTTCCAAGGCAGTATCACTAAGGAAGTAGATTGCCCAACCTTCCTTCCGAGGAGTGGCTGGTGGTTTTGAACCGCCAGCCTTCTGGTTAGCAGTAAAGTGCCTGAGGCACTACGTTACCAGAGCTCCCAATGGTGTGTATATTAAAACTTTAATTAGATTAAAAGTTAGTCTACAAAAATATCAGGCCATATTTTGAAAGGAAAGATACTGAAATAGATGGACTTTCAGTTGATTTTTTTTTATGCTGTTGGTTGATTTATTGGTGCAATTTCAGATAAATCAGAATGAGTATTTTTTATTAGTAAGCACAGTTGCTTGCAGTAAACAAACACTTTATGTTTTGGAAAAAAGGTTTTAGTTACTTTCAGAAGAGTAGACACAGATAATACTGGCAAAAGCCTAAATCAATTTACATTTTCTCTTCATCTTAGAACTGGATAGAACCTGTTTAAGTTTCAAAAGTAAGATTAAAAAGTGATTTTGTAAGGATGTTTTAAATTCAGTATGGATGAATGCTATATGTTAAAAAAAAAAACCTCCAAAAACCAAACTCACTGCCCTAGAGTTGATTCTACACATAGAGACCCCTCCTTGGGTTTCTAAGACAGTATCTCTGAGGAAGTAGATTGCCCAATCTTCCTTCCCAGGAGTGGCTGGTGGGTTTGCAGTCATATGCTTAGGCACTACTCCACCAGAGCTCCCATATGTTAAAGGTAGTATTTATATTTCAATGCTTTCAAAATTCTAATGTATAAGAATTTTAGAATTTGAGGACTGTTTACTTTTGTTTTTCTTAATTTTTGCAATCAAAAGTAATAAAATAACAAAGAGTAATTGAATTATTTTGGAAGGTCAATATCATGTTAGTGTGAATGGTGACTTAGTAAATTACTTTGCACTTCACCAAACCAAGATACTTTTCAAAGCAAAAGTAGAGAATTTTGAATTGATCTCTGGGTTCAACTTTATCAGAAAGTTTTTAGGAACTACCAATCTTTATTAAAAAAAAAAGTTCTTCTGATGTAAATATAAATTTTGCTGGGCAAAATATTTAAATACATTTTGGAGAATATATTAAACTAATATTATTGTGTGTGTCTTCACCATATGCTTGGTCCTTTAGAAACTTACATGATTTAATCCCCATAAAATTCCTATGTGATAGTTCTTGTTGCCATTTTATAGATTGGGAGCCTGATGCTCTGAGAAGTTAAATCACTTTTGCAGGGTCACATAGCTAATAAATTGCAGAGATTTTCAACTCAAGTCTTTTTCTGGCATCTACTACTATAGCCGCCTTTGGCAATTTTAGAACTTAAGTTTTTAAAATGACTTGGGCTACTGATTAATACTAGAGGCTTGGAAGTTTACATACATTCTGAAGGGTTTTTTTCCCCCCATGCCTGGAATCAGTGCTATGATGGAATTAAAAAAAACAAAACAAACTCACTGTCATCGAGTTGATTCTGACTCATAGTGATCCCCTTTGGGTTTCCCAGGCAGTAAATCTTTACGGAAATAGATTGCCCAGTCTTCCTTCCACTTAGTGACTGGTGGGTTTGAACCACCAACCTTCTGGTTACCAGTCAAATGCCTTAGGCACTATGCCACCAGAGCTCCTATGATGGATTAAGTATATTAATTTATTTTTTGTTTTCTGTGATGCATGGTTGCCTACCTATTATATCACATTTACAAATAACATTATTAATGATACCTTCAATAGTTCTAAAGAGGCTTTTCATTGTAAAGAACCAACATTTCAATGTAGGCATGAGAGGATTAGAAAAGCTAAAATATCTTTCAAACTCTAGGTGAAAGGTGTGATGTAGGTAGAACATTAAGGTCTGAGGTGGTTGCCCAGAGGCCAGAGGACAAAGTCCCAGGAAGAGACACCTTTGCCAGTACCCAGCTTCTCTTGTCCATGAGGATTTCTTCTCTTAGCTATGGTATTTTTCCCTTTGTAAGTTGTGGATCTGGAACCCATCAGCACTCTCTCACGAATATAGGAGAGAAAAGGATCACTCAGTCCTTCAAATACTTCTCTGTCCAACTGATATGCGCTTGCAGCTTGCCTTTCTGATCTGGACGATCTTGAAAGAAATGGAGTTGGGGCCTGGAGCTAGAAGAATGCCTCACCAAAGTGTCCAGGGCTGGGCTTAGCTTTGCAGTGCCCTTCCAGTCTTCTGGCGTATCTTGGAGTCCTTTCTGTCAGAAAATACTTGGGCGTGGGGAGGGAGCTAGTAGCATATGCAGGTTTTAGTTTTATTCACAATTTACAAGCGTAGGTGGTGAAAGCATTAAGTACATGATCAAATTGCCTAATGAAAGAGATGTTTCTTCCAAAACAGAAAGAAAACTCACCTCAAAAATAATGGCAATTTACTCAATTGTTCTCTTGTTCCCTGCTTGATCCTGGCATCAGCCATGTTCTCCAACAAGATCCCCTCCTCTCCACCCCTCAGCCCAGCATGAGGCCCCAACAACATATGTGCATATTCTCTGGCACTGGGTGGAGATGTTAAGCAAAAGCAAAAACCAGTTTTGGACTGCTGGGGAAAGAGATTTGGAAGTCACTGATGTAGAATGATGAAAAATGAACAAACTGTGCTACCGTCCATACCACTGCCAGCCCTCTTGTTACTGTGTTTTCTTTAGCCAAATATACCTTTGAAACACTACAACAGACTTTCTAATGACTTATTGTTGCGGTATATTTTAAATGTCCTGCCTTGAAAACAAGGAAAAAAGAAACCCCTTTCTTCCCACTAATTTTGGTTCACATGCTGGGCCATATTGTCATACCAGATGCATTTCATTTTCTGCAACACAGTTGGGAAAGATGCCTTCTTAATTTGTGTGCATATCAAAAATATGCCAATTTTATGTATTCTGTCTTGATGAGTTACTAAAATTATATTTTACAAGTATGAGGAAGTCAATATTTTAAGATAAAAGAGAGGAATGAATGTATTGGATTTTTCAGATTCTAACAAGAACGTGGTGTTTATGAATGTTAAAATTTTATTTTGTTTTCTCTTTTAAATACATTTCATTAAAATTAATTTCACAGAAGAGGAAAACATTTTTGAAAGGAGTAGATAAATTGCTCAATATATGACAGAAAAGTTTTGAAACATGGTAAGAGAATATCCATTTACTGAGATAAAATTCATAGGACACACCTATAAGCCCTAACAGAAAGTGGAATAAGTATTTTCCAAGAATAAGTCTATCCAAGAACATTTTGTTATTAATTCTCTTACCTTTTAAAGAAAGCCTATATGCATAATACGTCTGTATTTTCCAAAACTATTCAACAATATGATTTGGGTTAATTTTTGCTATTTTCAGGTGTTTTATTTTTTAATTCTAATTTGAGTGAAAGTTTACTGAGCAAAATGGTTTTCCACTCAACAGTTCATACATATTTTGTTTTATGACATTCATTGCATCCCCACAATGTAACAGCACTCTTTTCACTTCCTCCATTTGTTTATTTTTTCCCCTACATCAGTCTTTCCTATCTTTCCTGCCTTCTTAGCTTTATCCCTGGCCAAATGCTGCCCTTTTGATCCCCTGAGGTTGATTGTTCTCATGAGTGCATACTTCCCTGCTATTATTGTTCCCCTTATAGGCCTGCCTATTGTTTTTTGAAAGAACTGGCAAAGAACAAGGCTCCGGGAATTGATGGCATACCAATTGAGATATTTCAACAAACAGATGCCCCATTGGAGGCACTCACTCAGTTATGCCAA